ATTAAATAAATTGCCAAATAATAAATAAAAAATGAATTTAAAAATGCAATAAAACCATCAAAGAAAATACCGAGACTATTCTTTTAAAATTAGGGGTATTGCACCAATCATTGGCCAAAGAATATTTTGACATTCTTCATGTGAAATGACTTCAATACCCTTGCCAACTCAGTTGTTTTGTCCTTTAGTATACCAGAAATTACAGTTCACATTGTATAAGTTGTAATAACATTTTTATCCAAAACTTAGTGCTTAAGAAATGCAATTATAGTGTATATACTCTCACTCTACGACCACAGCAACGTGTCACAAACTTGAGCTTCAAGTAGAAAGACCAAAATGCCCTTGTAACAGCCACTTGTCAATCTCAGCATAAAACAGATCCTAAGATTGTATACTACACAATGCAGGCTGAATCATAGTTGTTCAATGCAATGCAGTTATCTAAACATATGTATAAACATATAATACAACTATAAAATGACCATAGTACCCCTGAAAATCCTTGTAGCTAATTTTCATATGTTGAACCTCAGTTTACACAGAAAAATAACCTGAATAGGCTGAATAGCGGCAATATACTATCTCAAACCATTGTGTAATTGTGTCACAAGATGGTAAAAGACAATACTACCCTTGTGTGATGATTTAAGCCATTATGCACTATAATAGTTTATAGTATTTGTTCACTCAGAGAGAGCTGATTATGAGACAGCGTAGATGGTTAGAGTTTGTGAAAGACTATTATTTCTCTATACAGTAGTACCATCCAAGGAAAGTGAATATGGTGGTAGATGTATTTAGTCACCAACCCTATGCTAGTCTTTCTGCATTATTCACCACTGAATGAGATGATTTAAAGATAGTTAATGAGTTGTCCGATACTTTTATGGCATGTATGGTAATTACACCCTCTATCATTCACAAAGTACTCACGGTACAACTCACAGATCAGTAGTGCAGTGATAAGGTTATAGAGTTAGCTTCTAGAGATATTCCATTTTATTATGATGGGGCTGATGGAGGCTTGAGGTACAAAGGGCATTTAGTAATACCTTATGCTAATGTTTTGAGGAATGATATGATGACTGAGACTCACAAATCTGAGTTTTTTATCCATCTAGGAGGAGATAAGATGTATCAGGATATGAAGCGGCAGTTTTGGTGGGCAGGTATGAAGAAAGAGATTGCTATCTTTGTCTCTAAGTGTAGTACTTGCTAGATGGTCAAGATTGATCATCAGAGACCACCAGGTTCTTTGCAGCCACTTCCTATACTGGAGTGGAAATGGGAGAGCATTTCTATAAATTTCATAGAGGGATTGCCTAATTCAATCAAGGATCACAATTTCATTTGGTTCATTGTTGATAGGTTGACTAAATCAGCTCATTTCTTGCCTATTCGCACTGATTTCACTTCAGAACAGTTGGTGAGACTTTACATTACAGAGATTATGAAGTTACATGGCATACCATTATCCATTATATCAGATAGGAATTCGAGCTTTGTATCAGGAGTTTGAAAAATCTTTTAGCAGGCTTTAGGTACAAAGTTGCATCTTAGCACTGCTTATCATCCTCAGACTGATAGACAGACTGAGAGGGTTAATCAGATTATGGAAGATATGCTTTATTCTTTTGTCTTTGACTTTAAGGGCCATTGGGAGGATTATTTGCCTGTTGTGGAGTTTGCATATAATAATAGCTTTCAGAAGACTATTGATATGGCACCGTTTGAGGCATTATATGGTCAACCATGTAGATCTCCTGTTTATTGGATGGAGGTTGGAAAGAACAGATTTTTGGGTCCTGTGTTCATTAAGGACACCTCTGAGAAGATCGTTCTTATTAGGGATCGTATGCACACTGCCCATAGCAAGCAGAAAAGTTATGCAGATCAATGTACTAGTGCATTGGAGTTTCATGTTGGAGATTAGGTTTTACTCAAAGTGTCACCTATGAAGAGAGTAATGCGCTTTGGGAAGAAAGGGAAGTTGTCACCACATTTTGTCGGTCCTTTTATGATTTCAGATTGAGTTGGAGTTGCAGCTTATCGGTTAACACTTCTGGACCATTTACATCATGTTCACAATGTGTTTTATGTTTTCATGTTGCAGAAATTTCTGCAAGATGAGGATCGTTATCAGCATATCGATGTTGGTGAGATTGAGTTGCAGCCGGATGCAACATATGTGGAGCCACTGTGTCGCATTATAGATCGTAGGGACCAAATTCTTCGCAATAAGATTATACCTCTAGTGCATGTCCAGTGGAGCCATCATAATGAAGTTGAGTTTACTTAGGAACGGGAGAACATAATTCGCTCGCAATTTCCGGAAATTAAGGAATAAGGTAAGGGCGAATTCCGAAGACGAAATTTTTTTTGTTAGGAAGGAAGAATGTAATGCCCCTAATTTTAAAAGGATAGTCTTGGGATTTATTTAATTATTTTATTACATTTTTAATTAATTATTTGATTACTTGACTAATTGTTTATGTGTTTAATTGAATTAATATTTTAAATTGATCATGTGCATAAATTGTGTGTTTTAATTAATTGTTGGTATGAAATTATTTGTTTAAATGTTATGTGATTATTTGTATTTATTTGTTAAAAATTAAATGTTTTATTTTTATTTTATATTTTTAATGGAGTTGGATTTGGATAGTAATAATGCACCAACCCAATAGATCTCATGGGTTAGTTAGATAGGAGGCTTGATGTGTATGGATAATTAACCATGAATGTTAGTTTATGTATATATATATATAAGGATTGTAGTAGTACTGTTATTATTATTAGTAATAATAATAATATTGGATAATTAGTGTGTATATATATAGATATACATATTATTTAACTATATATATATGTATTAACGTTTTGGCAGAGGACTTATATACTTATATTTTTCCTTTTCTATTTTATTTTTTTTCTTTTTTCTTTTCTTTTTCCCTAAGTTACTTATGTTGTAGAGGGATTAGGACTAAGGTTTATATATAGCCTATATGTGAAGACCATACGTGTCTTCTTTTTCCTTTTCCCATTTTTTCGGCATTTTTTTTTATTACTTAATTATTTATTTAATTATTTAAATAATTATTTGTTTATTGTCCATTCTTTCCTCGTTACCTTGGGGTTCTGAGTTTGGATTTGATTTCTTGTATCGCATGCATTCACCTCACTTTATTTTAATGTCTATGCATGATTTAATTTAGTAGGAAAGCAATCTAGCTTGTTTTACATTTTGAGGGGTACAGATGCATAGTTCTTTCGAAAATATTTTCAGTTTTTGAGGTGCTTTGTGTAATTAAGTTTTTGAGATATTTTGTTTGAGGGACCATTTTGTAATTATTTTCTTGAGATATTGACTATTTGCAATTATATATATATTGAATAATTGTAATTATTTTCTTGAGATATTGACTAATTATTTTTTTGACCATTTTGCATAATTGCAATTATTTTCTTGCAATTATATATATATATATTGAAGTGATTGAAGATCAAAAAATAATGCTGCTACTTTTTTAAAGTTACTTTCATCATATAGCATCGTATCAAGCTCAATGAGGTGGTTCAGAAACGTAGTTTACTTCAAATTTGTTAAAATAATAAATCAGAAAATTTCAGAAGTAGTTTGCATCTTTACCCCTAACCATATAACAAGTTTTAATGCCATGACATGGTAAAGTTAATTATTCAAAACGTGCACTATAATTTTAAAGCAAGAAGGGAGAAACCAAGAGCTCAGTTTCTATGCGCTCGTTTTTCTCCAAGATCATTTACGCTTTAAGCGACAAAGACTAAGACTCTGGCGTCTATGGACTCTTTTTTCAACAAGATCATTTACTCTGTACTCTTCAAGGGGCAAAGACCAAGACTAGCTTCTATGCACTCGTTTTTCTCCAAGATCAAGGGATAAAGACAAAAAAAACATTTGATTTAGTAGTTTGTGGAAAAGGGCCTCTCTCTTTACTTTTTATCCCGCCTAGGTGGGGAGGTGCCGATTCCCGCCACTCACTACTTAATAAACTCAACGTGCTGTACTCATTTTGTTGGGTAGGTGAATTTTTAGGCCGTTTTGTTATTGTTTTGTTAGATTGCTTTTGTTGGCTTGTATCTGGTTTGACGGGGTAGATTTACTTTTTGTCTCTGATTAGATCTTCAATCTATATCGGGTTTTGTAGTCTCCATCTCTATCTCGGTTTTGTAGTCCCACCTCGGTGTGAGTTTTGTTGTCCTCGCCTGTTGTGCGTGGTTTGGGGAGTTCTTTTTCGTTGGTGGCGTTTTGTGAATGTAGTCTTGGAACGATTGTCTTGATAATGACCTGATTTTTGAGTCATTCCGGTTGTTATTTTTTTTTTTGAATGGTTACGACTGTTATGTTGTTTTTCAGCAAATTGATCGGTCATTTATGATGATCTGTATAGATATTGTTTGGTTGATATTTTTATTGCCAAAAAAAAAAAAAAAAAAATCAAGGGACAAAGACCAAGACGTCTTTGGACTCTTTTGTCAACAAGATCATTTACTCTTCAAGGGACAAAAAAGAAAGACCTCGAAGTCTATGAACTGCTTTTTCTCTCATGAGTGAATGGTAGGGGCCTGTAGAATAAGATACATATAAATAAGGACAATACTGGTTGGACCCAAGTATTCTACAATAATTATTGACTTAGAGTGAACTTTCTTACTTTGAAAATATATATATATATATATATATATATATATATATATATATATATTGTTTTTTATTCCCAAATATTTTGAACAAAGACATGTTATTTTGTTTATATATATGTTTAGATATATATATAATTTCTGGATTCCATTATTTTGGTCATATATAATTATTGACTTGGAGTTGACTTCCTTACTTTTAAAAAATATATATTGTTTTTTTTATTCGTAGATAATTTGACAAAGACTTGTTACTGTATTTTGTTTATATATATATATATATATTTTTCTGGATTCCGTTATTTTAAGTACTACTTCAAAACCTCTCGTATTTAAATCTCAGTCTTGCCGAGCTTTACTTTCTCAACTCGCTCTAGGCCTGCATTTTCAAAAGCTAAGATGCCAAAATTGTATGAGGTATATAAATTAGGGTTTATCTCATTTTGTGTTGTTATTAACAACGTTCACTTTCTTTTGGTCCTTTCAATTTTATTTATCAGTTATAGTTTGAGCGCATGACCATATGACCATACCTGCTTTGGTAAGACACACATTTACACTTTTTTTTTTTTTTTTTTTTTGACAGATGAGCAGCAGTTGCTTGCTAAATCTTGGTCATGGGGCGATTAAATGGTTCCATTACTATGTTGTCTTATCCTGGGCTGCCATATTTATCTCTGGTAATTTTTATGAACGTTGTTTTTGCATAGAGACGTTTGATTTTCCTATTAGACCTGATTTGCTCAGTTAATCTTCTTGTATTCTTTTTTAGGTCTGGTTTTCAGCCATGGCTTTGTAGAATATGCTCTCAGTAATGTGTTGATATCCTATTTAACAACAGACTTGAAGATGGAATATCTTCCAAAAGCCACAACGATTATATATATTCGAGACGGTGTATCATCAGTGCTGACAATTGTTCTTGCTCACATATCAGATGCCTACACTGGACGTTTTGAAATGGTGGCCATCTCCACTGCTTTTTATATCCTTGTAAGTTTCTTTGTTTATACGTACATGGTGTAGTCAAATTTTTTGCTGGTTTTATTATTATTATTATTAGGACGAAGTGCAAGAAACACCAACACACCTATTATATGCAAAAGGTGCAAAAAAAAAAAAAATAAATAAATAAAACCATTACTGTTTCTTTTGGTGCAAAAAAACCCCTGATAAGTCATTTTGACCAAAATGTTTATTAAAGTCCCAAAATTGCCCTCCTACTACCATAGCAGTGAACTAATTCCGGCGAGCACTTTCTGTACGTGTATACATATAGGATCGAGCTTTAGTTTTTCTGAATTTTATAAGAACATTATTTCGGGCAAGCAAACCTATCCTTGTGGATCAGTTTTGTTTAGGATCAGTAATACAAACTGACTAAAATGACTGGGGAAATAACTCCCTACCAGTTGACACTTCAAAGCTTCTTGTTTTTGTCACAAAGGTGATTGGATTGAAACAACTAGGTTCACTACCTTGTTGAAGCTCTAGTTCGTGAAGGCCTTTAGAATGTTCACGTCTGCACACTGTAAGCCTGAGTTATCAAATTAATTTTGACTTTTTACTGTTATATATATATATATGTGTGTGTGTGTGTGTGTGTGTGTGTGTGTGGGTCTTATATATATATATATATATTAGATTGGTGGTCGCCGGTGGCGGGGTGATTGGTGGTGGTGATTTATAGATATGTGTATGCCCTGTGTCTATATATATGTATGCTAAGGCGATGGAAATCAAAGAGCAATTTTGGAACTTTTAGAAAAATTTTGGTCAAGATGGCTTGGTTAGGGGTTTTTTGCACCAAAAAAAATGTAGGTTTTTTTTTTTTTTTTTTTTTTTTTTGCACCTTTTGTATACTTGCACTAAACCCTTATTATTCTTATTATTATTATTATTTGGAGCAAGTACTTTGGCTTGGTTTTGTTAGTTTTGTTTGTGTTTTAATATTCTTTAGGCTAAAGGGCAATAAACCCCTTGAACTTTACTCTCTCTCCCAAAAAACCTCCCAAATTTCTATTTTTACAATAAATCCCCTAATCTATTTCCTTTTCTACAAAAAGACACCAGGTGACACTATTCCAGCACCTATTCATCACCTGACCCAATATATAATTTCAAAATGACTGAGTTACCCTTATTACTATTAAGAAAATAAATAAATAAAAATTCCAAATTAAAACGTCTTTGTTTAACCCTAATTTTCTTCACAAGTCGCCATTGTCATCAACAACGACTGGTCAAGTGCGTGCTCAAGCTCGCCGGCATTAACGTTGTCATCTTCCTCAACATTGATGAAGTTCTCTGCTATCTCCTCTGCCACACCCATGTTCACACCCATTTGACACCAAAGCCGATCTCTGCCATCACCATCAAAATCTTACCTGCCACTTCTACCATCACCGATCTCACCAATCAAGTCTTCGCCGAGATCGCCGCCGCCATCCATTTCAGATGGAAGTCGTATTCAACAACAGAACCTGAGTTCTCCGAACTCAGCCTCAACCTTGGGCTCACCGTTGCTGCACCACTGACCGACCGCGAGCCCCATCAACCTCGCTGCAAGTCCAACGGTCGAACTTAGTCTCGTCACCTCCGGACATCACAGCTGTCTTCTTAACCATCGTTAACCACCACAGCTCTCCGCTGTCATCTCTGCCATCGTCAATCCCTGCCACCGATCATCACACCGCTGCTCTTCTCTGTCATCAAGCTCGCCGCCACCCACTGCCGAATCGTCCCAAGTCTGTCTCACCGGCTCTCCAACAGTCGTTATCTCTGTCTCACCGACTCTCCAATAGTCGCCAAATCTGTCTCACCGTCGCCCACTGCCGAAACATCTAGCTGTTCCTCGCCGGTGCTGCGAGCTGCCGCAAATCGTCCCAAGTCTGTCTCACCAGAGCTCATCACTGTCCATCGCCGCATCTGCCGCTACTCCACAACCGGCCAATCCTTATTGTCTCCCTGCCGACCAGCCGAAGCCACCCTTTCCACCTTCAGCTTTAACCCTCCCATTCTCTTTCTGTATATACCAAAGTTATGGGTTATACTTTGAACACTCCTTCTCAGTGATTAAAGACAATTGTGACCCACATGCCATCAAAAAATAATAATAATAATAATACTTTGCATCAGATAGAAAGAGAAAGTGAGCGTGATAAAGGGTTGTGGGATCCCTCCTCTTCATGGCGGCGTAGGATTCCGAAGATTCATACAACAACAATTGCTATGGCTGCTAGGAAAGGACACGCAGACATTGATTTCGTGATTATTATGGTTTGATTTGTCCAGTCGAGTTCGAGACAAAATATCATGAGTTAGCCGTGATTCTCGCTGGCGTTATGGGGTGTGGAGATGGTGGTGGTTATGGGGATAGTTGGAATGATACCTCCGCATCTGTGCTGGTGGTGATGGTGGTGGTGTCGCCACGACTGGTTCAAAGGAAAGACGGCGGTTTGTAGAGAGAAGATTAGGGGATTGGGATTATAAGATTACTTAAATGTCCCTATTATTAATGATGTGGCAGTACATGATGTGGATATTTTTGTCCAAAAATAATGGTGATAAGGTATTTATGCTGTCACAATATCATTTGTTGTTACTAAAGGGCAATTTTGTAATTCAACATTTCCGGTTAGCTCAGGTGCCGGCAAATTTAGATTTTGTCCTGAAATTATACTTTTTAAATAGTTGAGGGGGTATTACTTAGTTCAGGGGGTTTTGTGCTTTTGCTTGAAAGTTCAGGGGAGTTTATTGCTCTTTACCCTATTCTTTAGGATAAAATACAAAAAAAATTCTTCTAAACCATTGTACTTTTGTAAATAGGGTAAATTACACTGACTTCTCCTTATGAGGTTTCGTCAATCTACACAGACCTTTCCTATTGTTTGTCAAATTACACTGACCTCTCCTGTCAATGGATGCTTTTAAGGGAAAGAGTAAAATTACAAATTTATCCTTACTTATTAATTTATTATTAAAAATATAAAATATAATGGATGTAAATTACCAATAGTACACTTTTTAAGATTTTTTTTTTTCCTTCTCCTTTCCCACGGCATTGCCTTGCCGACAAGCCCCCCCTCTCTCTCTCCTCTGTCCCAACTGCTAGAAACGGGTGACGTCAATGGAGAAGAGCATGGACGGCGATGTGCTCGATGATGAAGTGTTAACAGCATCCTTAGAAATGCGCTACCCCGGAGAAGGCTATGCATCTTGATAAAAAAAATAAAAATAAAAAAATAAAAAAAAAACCCAAAAGTTGTATCTGTTCATAGAGAGAGAAAATAGGTTTCTCAGCCGTCAAGGAAATGGGTCTACTCGTTACATGAAGTGTTGCCGGAGAGGAGTGCACTGGAAAGACAACTTGCCAGACTTAAAATGGGTTTACACCAAAACTATGAGCTCGCCGTCACAATGGAGCTTTACCATTCGCCATCGTGAGCTTTGCCGATGGATTCTTTATTCCATGCCGGTGATTTCTTCATGTCGCGGTTTGTCCTCGCTGGCCCATCCTTGCTAAATTCAGTGCTTGCATCACGGCCGGATCCTTGCACTATGTTGGTTGGTTTAACAAATTTCAACTTTTTCAATTTTATATGAATTAACATAAATTCAAAATATAAGAGAAAACTGGAAATTACTTTGGGCAGTAGTGTGTCCAAATTTCTTACACTGAGCACATAGCTTAGGAATCCAAACATATTCAACTTAAATTTCAATTTGCTTATGGTCATCTTTAATGTAGAAATCAAAAGAAGAGTATGTGTTAGTTGCCTACTGTTATCATTTTGATGATGAGAGTTTGATCTGGGGTGCAGTTTGAGAGACTGTTCATGATTGGGAGGTAAAGGATATGGTTGAGTTTTTGGTGATGCTATATATCTAGGTTATTTTTGAGGTGGGGATGAATGAGCAAACGTGGATGGCTTTGAGCCGGGGAGATTTGAGGTATAATCCTTCTATTGTTAGCTGATGGATGCTTAGGGGAAAAGAATTTGGTGCTTAAACCAAAAAGTTGAAATTTGTTAAACTATCTTCGTCGGAATCTCTCTAAACTAAAGCTCGTCGAACCCTAATTCGCCCTTTGCAACCCCAAAAAAGTTGAAATTTGTTAAACTACCTTCACCAGAATCTCTCTAAACTGAAGCTTGTCGAACCCTGATTCGCTATTCGCAGCCACCGTGTGTATATATATAGATAGATATATATGTGTGTGTATATGTATATATATATATATATATATATGTGTGTGTGTGTGTGTGTGTATATGTATTGGATGAGATTGATGTGTGTGTCTGTGTGTGTCTAAGGGCACCATTGTCCTTTTGAGTTTATAAGTCAAGGATATTATTGTAAATTTGCAGTGATTATTGAGGTTAAAAATGTCATTTCAGGCATTAGAAGGGTAAAATTGTCTTTGTATTGATTTTTTCTGATGAATATAAGCATAAACTGTTAGTTGTTTAATGGTAGGGGAGGTTTGTGTTATCAGTATATAAACTTCGAGGGAGGTCAGTGTTATTTGGCAAATAAGAAGGAAGGTCAATGTATAATGACGAAACATCAAGGAAGATCAGTGTAATTTACCCTTGTAAATAATACATGAACTATTGATTTGTTGCAATTAATTAAGGACACATTCATAACAAAAGACTTGTAAATAATACATGAACTATTGATTTGTTGCAATTAATTAAGGACACATTCATAACAAAAGACTAATTTACCCCTTTTCATTAAATTTGTCATCTCTATTAAATTATTTTTATTATCTAAAAATTAACCATTTACCTTAATTTTTTTTTTATTAGTATCAATTTATCATAGAAGTAGAAAAAAAAAATTATAGCTACTATTTTCTAAAATGATTAACTTATTATTAAAACTTTACTATTTATAATAAAACTTATTATACTTAATTGAAATTTTTTATAGCAAATATATATATATATATATATATATATATATACACACATTCTTTTTTATTAAATATATAATGTATTAATAGAAAATTAATAAATTGCTTAAATAAAAAATACCTTCTTTTTTATGCAATATAGTCATGAAAAATAAATAAAATTACTTAAATTGTTTTAAAAATTTTGTACATAAAATTTTTATTTTAATTTTAAAAAGTAAAGGTAAATTTATGCAAATTTAGTGAAGAATATGCTATCGGATTATTATAACTTTTTTCATAATTTATTATTTATGTAAGAAAAATAGATTAAGTATACCTAATTCAATAAGAAAGTTATTATAGTCACTTAATGAAATATAATTAAGATATTGAGGTGTTGGAACATTAATTAGGAGTTTTTTTTTTTTAAGGGTTAAGTGTAAAAAAAAACCCCTCTAATATCCTTATAGTGCAAAATGGTACTTGTGTGGTAAAAAATTTCCCTGTATTATTAATTTGGTACAAATAGATGCTTCTGTAATATAAAATATCAATAATACTCTCACTACAGTTGAATAAATTAATTACTATAAATAAAAGACATGTAAAATGTTCCTTTTATTCACTTATCAAAAAATGAAAAAAAAAAAAACTTTATCTTAATTTTTCTTAAAATATCCGCCACCAAAACCGAGATCTCTTTCTTATCCGGCCATTAGAAGGATCTTGACAGCAGACGCATAGGCGATAGGAAGAAAGAGAAGGACGGACCGTAGCTGAGAACCAGTTGAAGGCGAAGCCATTAGACCTACAAGACATAGATCCCAGAGGTGAGAAGGCAATATCAAGATATTTATTTTCTTGATGCTTCACAGCTAGTCCTTCCGAGCCCACCTGTCGTTCTCTGAGCCCACTTTGACACAACCAGTAGTGTGTTACCTGTGCACGAGGCAGGGAGAGAAGGTGGGGCACACGTCTCTTTGATTACCTGTGTGTTGAGGGAATTTTTTTTTTTTTTTTTTTTTTTTTGTTTCTATGTCAGCAAAATTATTGGATTAAGATATGATGACTTGGCAAGTTTTTATTGGACATAAGAGATTACAAGCCGCCACATCAACCACTTTTTTGGGTCTTTATCCCTATCTAAAAGGAATGGTAAATTGAAGAAACTTTCCAGAAGATAAATGAAAGAGTAAAAAGAGTAGTGTGGCCCGCAAATTTGCTTGTCGTTTAATTGACTGATATCATTGACCAAGGACTCTTGTTTGTTTCTTTTATTTTTATTTTTGGGCAAATTACACAAATTATCTATAAAATTTTTATAATGTGCATGTAGATAGAAGTTATAACAATATTACACAAAGATTTATATTGACCGTTTGGTTACAAAAAATAATATAAATTTATACTTTTAACTTTAAAATTAAATCATTTATTTTTAATATTTTAAAAATTAATTTACTCATAAATTTTTCGTATAGGTTCGACTTCAATCTCTATCTATGCCTTTGTCAAATACTGAAAAAATAAAAATATATATATTTTTTACTTGAAAATAAAAAAAAAAAATTAAAAAAATATTTTACGTCCTAACAAATAAACAGAACAAGAAACAAATATGACTGTAAGACTATGCCTTAAGGTATTATTGATGAGTTCATACTCAACTATTAAGACCCATAAGAAGAGTTCCAAAATCAAAAGTCAAAGAAACTAAAATCATTTTCGCTGTGATCATTAATATGTAGAAAGTATTGTACAAAAAAAAAAAAATTGAAATATTAAAAATAAATGCTTTAATTTTAAGGTCAAAAATGTAAATTTATATTAGTTTTTTGTGGTCAAACGGTTAATATAGACATTTGTGTAATATTACTATAATTTTTATCTACATGCACAATATAAAAATCTCGTGAGTGATTTGTGTAATTTGTCCTTTATTTTTAAAACTAAAGTGATTGATGAGTGACACAAATTTTAAAAAACAATAAAATAATATAGTAAGGAATGTGAGAGGATGGATGGAGCACAAAAACAAAAAATAACAAACTTCTCCAAAAAAAAATATATAGTGCTACATAGTGACATGGCTCTAAAGTATTTACCCAATTTTGTTATTATGTTACCGGAGGCGATTGAGGTCCAATGATGTTGACAGAGTCGGCAAGATTGAGTCTGAGAATTGAGAAATTATTAAGTAGTCTTGGTCCATTAATACTTGGTGGATCAATTAAATACAGACTCTTGAATTGAGAAAATGACTCTAGAAGGGTGTATTAATAAATTATAAAGTTTTGTGATCGGAGAGTTTTCATTAAATTAGTCCACTAAGTGTCAAATGCACCAGAACCATCTAATAATTTCTACTGAGAATGTAAGAATAAGATGCAGCATATTACTTTGGTTGTGTATTGTACTGTTGTACTATAAAATCTAACCATCATCATTTTTGTAGGGATTGTTGCTAATGAGGTTGTTTGGAACTCAAATAATGTTGTTCTTTGTGGCAATGGCGCTAGTAGCTGTAGGTAGTGCAGGACACGAACCGGTTCTAAAAGCATTTCTTGCTGATCAATTAAGCGAGCTTGAGCCAAAGCCAAGTATAGATGAGGAACGGGTAGAGGCCCGTGCAAGTGTCTGGTGGCGCGTCGCGCGGTTCTCAGGTGCTACCACAGCTACATTTGCGATTTTATCAGATACTGAATGGAAAGTTAAGTTCCACGCATCACTAATTGCAATGGTGATCGCATATCTGCTGCTCTGGTTGGGCTTCTCCTTATACTATTGCAACTGGATGGGCTTCTCCTTAGAATATTGCAACTGGTGGGCCTTCTCCTTATACTATTGCAAAAAAGCCACGGGCAGCCCCCTTACTCTTGTTTTTCGTGTTCTTAAGGCAGCAATTATGAAATGCCACCTGGACTACCCCCTTGAGTCGACGCAATTCTACAGGAATGACAGCAATCAATTGCCATTGTTTCCTCGCGTTCGATTCTTAAGGTAGGCGTAGTGCTTTCTTAATTTCTCTGTGTCTCCCCAAAATATACGTGTGTGGTAATTAATTAACAAAAGCCTTATTGGTTGATAGCAGGCTGTTAGACAAAGCTGCCATTGTGGAGAAGTCCTCTCTTAGTCCAGAAGAACAAGAAATTACAAGAAGGGTTTTCACAGTTGCACAAGTAAAGGAAGTAAAACTTTTATTTAGAACGGCTCCTATGTGGATACCCTTCTATGTTTATAGTCTAGTGGCCGCAACAGGGAATACTTTTTTCATTGACCAAGCTGCCAACTTGAATGATAAAATTGGGGATGGATTCGTTGTTCCAATGAATATTTTCTTTCTGATGAGGTCCTTCTCGAGCTTCACAGTCCCGTTTCTGTGGGACTTATTAATATCAAAGCACTTGGGTGAAGGAGGGAAACACCTTGCTACGCTTGTGAGAATTGGTTGTGGGATGGTCTGTTTAATATTATGTTGCATCACTGCTTGGCAGGTTGAGCTTCAGAGATTGCATGATTCAACTGGGCAAATGAGCATCCTTTGGTTAGCTCCACAGTACTGTTTGTTGGGAGCTATGGAAGGACTTGCGCTGGTGGGGCTTCAAGTTTTCTTTTATGGTCAAGTTGCTGAATCCATGAGAAGCTATGGGCCGCCCTTCACCGAATGTGTACTGGGCATTGGAAAATTCATCAGCATACCCTTTATCTTCATTTTTAGACACCTTAAATACGAACCATTTGGATCATTATTACCTTACGTTAGTTCTCCTCTCTGTTGGGAACCTATTGATCTACATTTGTGTTCCAGGAATATATTTCTATAAAGTGGAGGAGGAAAATTCAGCTCCAAACAAGGAAGAGGATGTTATTCAAGCGCAGCCGGCAGAGCAGCCAAGTACTTGAAACTCAAATCATTAGGTAACAGATCGTTGTACAATCCATGGTCTCATAAAGTTGTGCTGATATCCCAAACGTTTACATTAGAGTAATTCTATAAATAAATACTCCGTAGAACATATGTTGTGAGTATGGGATCCACACTCCATCTTATGAAGTCATAAAAGTGATAGTGTGTGTTTGTGTGTTAGGAGTCTAGGAGAAAATGCATTTCAGTACTTTCATGATTAGTGCTCAGTGTGTTGAGTGTATCAAGCAAGGATTTGATTTGTGTGTGCAAGAGGTGAAAATGTGTGTGTATATATGTATGTAATATGAATGGTGGAAGTGTAACACACTTGGGCTACAAATGAATTGAATCGAGACGAGACGAGATGAGCCGAGCTTTCGATTGTTCGGGCTTGCTATGCCAGAGAGCTTCTGGGTTCGACTCGGACTCGGTCTAGCCAGGCTCGAGTTCAGCTCGGTAATTTTTTCTTAAGCTCGAGTTTGGCTCCTGCTTGAATGTATGTGCGTATATATGTATTATGCGGTCATGTGTATGCACGTGTATATGTGTATTTATATACTATCAAATTAATCAACAACCCAAGAAAAAATTAGCCACCAATCTCCTTCAAATCGACTTCACAGTTCACCAATTAATCACCCATCTCGGATTCTGTGTTGTTGCAGAAACGTATTGCGATTTGTGGCAGTATTTGCGCTTTAACATGACATAATATTCAATGGCATAGATGAGAATATGATTTGGGCGGGGTTAGTTAATTAAATAGACTTTATTTGTTAACTGGGTTTACTAATTGGCCAATGAAATATTATGAATTAGGTCTACACTTCTATATATGGTTGAGTTTTTAAATATTATAATTTAAATTTATTTTATTTTATATATAAATGAGCCAGTTCACGAGCTCACGAACCGAGCTCACGAACCGAGCTTAACATTGTTTAAGCTCGGCTCATTTACTAAACGAGTCTAAAAAATGAGCTCGAGTTTGGCTCGACAAACGACTCCGAACTGAACTCTTAACAAGCCGAGTTGTTCACAGCAAATGAACCGGTTCATTTGCAGCCCTAAACGCACTTACCAGAGGTAAAATAAGAGTTCAGTCATTTTCCCTCTCTATTTATTATTTTTCTTGTATTTATTTTTTTTTTTATTATTTTTTTTTTTTTATCAAGTGTGTTGCAACTTTGAATATTGTTCACATTAGCAGCAATAAAGTTCTAGCCAAGTGAGAGGAAAAACTTCAATTTTCTTTGAATATTGTTCCCAAACCCACGTCCTCCTCTCTCCACTGTTGTTCCTCTTCTTCTTCACCCTCTCGCCCTTGGAAGAGGTTTTACGATCATGCTCTTCATGAAGGAGCTCTTCGTACTTAGCCACTCTGTCCGCCAAGTCGAATAAATCATAAAATTGCACTCCTTCAAACTTCTTATGAAGACAAATTGCATTTGTATTTGGCCCTTCTGAATCTGGAAATGAAGCTGTCCACTAACTTTCCAGGTAGCTGATGAAGTCTGGAAAGGTCTGCCATGGACATTTCAGGCTAGGCTCTATAAAACTGAGTATGAAACAGGTCCTCAAACTCTTACGAACTTTGGATGGAGTTAGCTGGCAGGTTGGAATACCACCTGAATGCATAGCCAGTCAGTGTATTTGGAAACAAACATATATACCTTCAGCCATGGATTGGCTGTTGCTTCTCCACATTGGACAGTGAAACGGCTGACATGTTCTAATGTGGACTGTTCACCCTCTCCATTGAATGTTGCAAATTCTGGAATTATGAAATTCTTTGGATACTCAACTTCATCGATGAACTCTAGATAGGGCTTTCTATAGGCTAGTCTTCCACCTCTTCGAGTTAGGACAAATTCCTATTGGAGGAATTCTGCAAATTGGCCTCTCTCAAGCATCATGGGCTGCAAAAGATTATTATCTGGCCAACCTTGAGGTTAATTGACCCCTTTATGCCCCCCACATGCCATTGGCAGTGGGTTAGCGTCAAAAAGGTTGTTCCTCCAACAGTTTTTCTTCCTTCATCCAGAAGTGGCTCCCTTGGAAAAGGTTGCCCCCCCAGCTGTTGTCTATCAAAATTAACCACTCGCAATAGAATGAATCCTTGTAGGATAAGGCTACTTAGAGGGTGTCGAACTACAGAGACTATCGTAGTTTATTAAGTGTCCAATTAATACGATTTTGATTCAGAGAGAAAAGATTGTGTTGATTTGTTATGTGTCACGAACATAAAATGAAGTAAAGAGATCAGAGAGAGCAGATCTTAGGGATTGACTTCATCACGAACTTCATACTATGGTCAACCATTCAACCTAGAAATTTAAACAATTTATGTATCATATAGAATTAAACTTAATAACATTTATTTAATTCGGGTTTAAAGAAAGATGTTTCATGAATTTCAACTAATAATTTATGCTGCCAATCTCGTACATTAAGAATAGGTTGAAAACAATTTAAGAATAATTAAATCTAAGGCAATGTATTAATCATTCAAAAACCATTACTTCATTAAAACACCAATTGATCTAAGTCAATTGCTTATAATCATGCAATTAAGATACATAAATAATTAAATTCCCAAAGTTAGAACATTCAAACCATAATACTCGGATTCGGATTACATTAATGCCCTAAGAGAGGAATTAGCTATAAGAGAGGAATTAGCTACTCATGACGATGTAAGATACTAGTTATGTTGTTGTGGTCTTCATCATCATAGACTGCACTTCTCTTCTCAGAATTTTCACCTTCAATGCTTAAAATAACTACAGAAACCCTAAAAGCCGCCACTAAATCTAGAATAAAACTAGAAAAAGAACAGAGAAAAAACGGAGATCTTTTTTATGTCCATGTGCCTCCTTTGATAGAAGAACTGACTTCTAATAAGGCTTGGATGGGCTTTAGGTCTTCTGGGGTCATCTAGGCCCGTCTGGGATGAATGATGATATAATTAGAACAAATCTCAATGACCCTGGATTTTTCAACCCAGCACGTTATGTGATGACCCGAACCGGATCCAAAAATGTGGAAGCAAAACAAAAGAAATGGCCTCAAGAGATGTACATCATCCCTAAGGCACCCAGATGACTCCCCATGAAGTGATGGAATTCAAAGAAAATAAGTGCGGAAGCAACGGTTCACGAATGGACAAGATTGAACCAAAGGGCAAAAAGGTCATTTCTAAACTGAGATGGGTGCCACCGTGCACACCATTGGAAAGACAACGAAAAATGAATAAAGATAGACTCAAGAATCGCCTGATTTCAAGCCCGAATGAAAAAGATACGAATTTAAAACAAAGCGGCCTTCGCCGTTTAAAGGTTACCACGAACCTATGTTGTTAAAACTATAATAACTCTCACTATAGGTGGAGTTCTGATGAGTGGTTGATACCAACGGAAAGCTAACTTCAAGCTATTGAACTTAGAATTAAGAATCACCGAATTTGGATCTGGAATGAAAGAGATATGACCTTCTGAAGTTGGACCAACAAAGCTGCCCAAGGAAAAAAAATGAAGAACAGTGTTCTAGGGAGGATCGGTCGACCGACGGCAAGGATCAGCCGGCCGAACCTCAACCTTCGGTCAGCCGAACCCCAAGGATTAGCCGGCCGAAACGTGGTTTTTGGCTACTGGAATTCTCGAGGGCTTTGTCAGCCGACCGGTAGAGCTTCATCAGCCGGCCGACACACCTACTGTAGCAGAAGAAGCTGCTGCAATGTGTCTGTGAGGTACTTGGTCCGTTTCTAAGGCTCTCTAAGCTTTCTACTTGATCCGGACAAGTTTGAAAACACCTTCTAGGCCCGTTCAAACACCCAAAACAAGCCAAAATAAGGAGGAGCTCAAATGACACCCCACGGAGGAATTTTTCATGAAAATTCATAAAAATCACCCAAAAATGGGTCAGAAGTTAAAACTCAAAGTTTTTGTGCAATGTGGACATGCACGCAAACGTAAAAAGACATTTAGGGCACGTTCCCATGGTTCGCGGCCTCAAAACAACTCGAATGCAAAATATGACCTCTTAACGGCCAAAAATGCCTAGAAATGGAATAAATGATTCCACAATGCAAAACCTAGAATGAAATGGTGTTTTACCCTTGGCCACACCTCATACATGATCATAGAAACCCTATGAAAAAGAAAGAATATAATTCCCATACCCGATGCAAAAGTTATGAAGAAAAGACTTAAGAATTTTCAATATTTCCATAATGAACTTTGAAAGTAAAAGTGTATGGAAAACATATTACATGTCATTGGCCTTCGGCCTCATCTTACACATGTTATTTACATTGAAAAGAGTGAATTTACATACACTTTACATATACAAATCAACGAATACAAGTTTAGAAAAATAGGGCTACAAAGAGGCGTTTTATGCTAACACTTGCATAAAATGGAAACTTAGAAACTATAAGCCATCCAAGGAGCAATAAGCATCACGAACCAAGTCTTCGTACTTGAAAAATGTCCCCACTACGTGGGTGAGTAATATAAAGCTACTCGTAGGAAGTGAGCATGCATCAACCTAGCATTTTACAATTATTACCTTATGGTGAAACATGTTAAATGGCTCATGCCACCTAACGTCTATGAATTTACGAGTCAACGAAAAGTGAAAATGAATCCCGTACGAGGATCCAGGCTCCTGACGAGATATTTTGCAATAACTTTCGTTAATTGCACAATGGCCCCTACAAAAAGGGTTAACTGCGAAACTACCCCAGAATGAAAATATCTTCCAAAAGATATTTTTTTAGATACCCCTGAAATAAAATATCTTCAAAAAATATTTACAAAAAACACCCCAAGAAAAGAAATTAATTTCAAAGAATTATGCATTCATGCCCCTATGGACACCGGGAGTAACCAGAGTACTTTCCTGCAAAAGTAAAGATACGTATTTCGTAAAAACCACTCACGATAAAGATACGTGAAGTCAAAAACCAACTCCGAGCACAAGAAGTGAGGTTTTGCCAACAAAGTGACAAACGGAGAAAAGACGAAATAGGAAAAATGACAAAATAGGAATAAGAACAAAAAGTAAATAGTGTCGAAAAACGAAAATTGTGGAAATGACTCGGTCCTCAAAGGAAGTTGTCAATCAATGGAAAAGAGTCTCAGAAATCATTTTCGAGCACTCAAGACGACACTAAGTGATGAAAAACCATCCACAGAAAGAAAAAACAACGGAAAAAATTTATCCGCAAAATTTGAGGAAAAAGGAAAAGGAAGAAAATGACCAGGTCATTACAACCTTCCCACCTTAAAGGGATTCCATCACTGAAATCCAGCCCCAACAAAACAAAAGGCAAAACTAGGATAACTACGGAGTACATCTCCGAGTACCCCACGACATGCTACGAGAACAATTCCAAAGCTAGAAGACAACACGCAAACCAATGCCATTCACACCCACGTGCTTACGACAGGACAACCCCTCAAAAGAAA